AGCGCAATGCTATGGTGTTGAAGGGCGTGAACGGAAACCTGGAGCGCGCAATTGAGACACTGGTGCGGTTAGGCGAGAGCGATAGACGGTCACCTTCTTTGACAGGGCCTCGTGAGAGCTCTTTGCGCGCGACACGCTCGCACGCGAACCTGTCAACGTCTAGTGGATTGACTGCACCGCATCAGACGTTCAGTGACCACCCCCAGTCGCCCTCAACAGCCTCGAGCAACAACCCCTTCGACATGCTGCCGCCGCAGCCGCAATCTTCCCAATCGACCGGCACGCTCCAGAACAAAAACCCCTACGCGAACAACCCCTTCGGAGCTCCCACGCAACAGCAGCAAGACATTGCCCAGGCTTTCGGCAGCATGTCCCTCGCTCCAGCGCAACCCCTATTTCCGCACCACACGGGCGGATTGCCGGCTTCCCAGCCGTTTGCTCAGCCTCAGCAAACGTACCAGCAGTCCATGACGCCTCCCATTCCGCAGCAGCATCAGCAGCAAAACTACAACCCCATGAGCTTTAATAGTAATATGACCTATCCCCAACCCATCCAGCCGCAGGCAACGGGCTACAACCCATTCCTCACGAACCAGGCGCAGCCTCAGCAGCAACAAAACCTTGCAGTCAACACAGGGCCATCGTCAAGCCCATATGCGAACAACCCGTTTACTCGATCTCCGACAAGAATCCAATCGCCTTCGCTAGGCCAGATACCCGAGCAGTCGCAATCGAACTTTTACATGGACTCTCCGCAGACGATGACACCACAGAGCAGCAACCCCTTCTTTGCACAACTAGGCTCGCAACCTACGGGGCAACAGCAGGTACCACAGCAGCAGCAGATGTACCAGCAACCATTTCAGCAAGAGCAGCCGGCGTTTGGGCAGCAGCAACAGAACCCCTATCAGCAGCAGCAACAAAACGCTTACCAGCAACCGGCTCAGCAATTGGTTCAGCAGCCGTTCCAGCAGCAGCCGCAACACCCGTTTCAGCAACAGAAGATGCCGCAGCAACAATATCAGGCTCCTACGGCACAGGCTCAGTATCAACAGCAGCCCCTGCAACCTCAACGGCCCGACAAGGCTTCGATCTTGGCACTGTACAGCCAACCGCAGCTGGCACCTCAGCCCTTTGCACCCCAGACCCAGGCGCAGACGCCAGAGGTACACCCCGAAGTCGCAGCATCTCAGCAGCAGAGCCAAGACGCAGCGAGTGGGTCCATGGTAGCAGGAAGCAAGAACCCCTTTTTGATGAATGGCGGCGGCGGTGGTGGAGGCATGTCATCGCCGCCGCCGCCACCACAACAGGTGATGGCGGCTCCCGTAGCGAATACCGTCGGGCCGCGCAAGGCGGGTGTCAGTCGCGAGAGCATGGCATTTACGGATATGCAGTGGACGAACGGGCGACACAGCCCAGACGCGTTTGCCAGTCTAAGTGCGCGGCACATGTGAAAAGGCCTCTAGGAGGGTGTCGCGAGGTCTAGATTCTTCTTGTAAATACATGCTTCTCTTTTGCTCTTCTTCGTTTTTTTGTAAGATAAAACTATCGATTCGAGACGATGTCCGAAATTTTTCGCATGCCACAATTTGCTCGTTTCTAGACTACCATGACCTGCGGAGGGTTCTTCCCTGCACGCGTATACCAAATTCGTTCTTTTTGTGTTTTGATATCGTTTTGACTTTGTGTGTCATCTGTTCTTTGTGCTATTTGAGTTACGTCCACCGACGTAGCTTTCTTTATGCGAAGAAAGACCCTTGCTGTCTAAACCCCCGCGGGGAAACTGACCGAGACCGAAAAGGACACGGCCGAGACTCGACGGGGTTACGCCGACCCGATGGGATGATGTGCCGAGTCTGGAACCCTTGCGGCGGCGGTCTCTTGTCGACTCCACACTAGACCTTATGCCGTAGTTCCGAGTATATCGCTTTTCCGTGAGATTCCGGTAGGATTTCACCGAAATCTCCCAAAAGTTCCGCTAAAGGACGCAAGGCCGAGGCCGAGGATTCAAACGCCGCAACGGGGCGATGAGTCAAATCCCGGGAAGCCACAAAAACCTCGCCGGGTGCGCGCCAAGCTGTCTGTACCTTACACTTCTTGGCTCGAAAATACGATTTCTCGTTGCATGACCTACAAACCGTTGATAGGCCATACTTGAGCTGTTGATTTACATTTCTTGTAGCTACTTCCAGGTTTTCTAAAAAAACTTACTTACCCTCAACCCCGGATCCCCCACACACTTTACCCCGACCAAGCTCACCACACAAAAAGATGACATCCCCGTCCTTCCAAGCCCGGCTCCGCGCCGCCATCCCAGACGGGTCCGACGCCCCCACACTCCCATCCCGGGCCTCCCTCGCCGCCGCATCGGCTTCTCTACCCCGCCGACCATCGTCTCACAGCACGGGTGCCAGCACGGGTGCCAGCGCAAAGGGAGGGGAGAAAGACAATGACGGAACCTACCTCGCCCCCCTCGGCACCGAAGCGACCCTAACCCACATCCTGACGGACATCGTCCCCGCCCTCAACGGCCAGGCGCGCAGCGGACGGTACTACGGCTTCGTCACCGGCGGGACCCTCCCCGTCGCCGAGGCGGCTGACAATATCGTCTCGGCGCTGGATCAGAACGTGCAGGTGCATTTGCCGGAGCAGACCGTCGCCACGGAGGTGGAGAGCGTCGCGTTGGGGATGCTCGCTGACGTGTTGGGGCTCGAGGACGGAAGCGGCGGCAGCGAAGGAGGGGTGTGGAAGGGGAAGACGTTCACCACCGGCGCGACGGCGAGTAACGTCCTCGGCCTCGCGTGCGGGAGGGAATATGTGATTGCGAAACGGGGCGGGAACGTGGGAGAGCAAGGGCTGTTGGGCGCGTGTGCGAGTGCCGGGGTGAAGGGGGTGAGGGTGTTGACGAGCATGGGGCACAGTTCGCTTTCCAAAGCGGCGAGCGTGGTGGGCGTCGGGAGAGCCAATGTTGCAGAGTTGCCGCTGAGCGCTGATGAACCGTGGAGGTTGGATTTGGAGGGTGTGGAGAGGGTGTTGCGGGAGGGAGAGGAGGATGGGGTGGTGAGTATCATTGCGGTGAGCGCGGGCGAGGTGAATACGGGGAGGTTCGCGACGGGGGGGAAGGGGGAGATGGAGAGGTTGAGGGGGTTGGCTGATCGGTTTGGGGCGTGGATTCATGTTGATGGTGGTGAGTTTTTTTCATTGCCGTCTTTTTTCTTTGTGTGGATTTGTAGTGACAAGGTGGTGAGATTTTGCTGACGATTGTTGGTTTGACAGCTTTTGGCATCTTTGCGAGGGCTCTCGAGGCGAAGCCCGAGTTTGCAAAGATTCGAGAGATGGCTTCGGGGCTGGAACTCGCGGATAGCATCACCGTGGACGGGCACAAACTTCTGAACGTGGTACGTTCGCATCAAGCACCCCTATAGACCTTCCCCCCCTCCTCTCCTTTCGCGCTGTACGAAGTGAAACTGATGTCCTACGGAACATCAAGCCCTACGACTGCGGTATGTTCTTCTGCCGCTCCCTCCCAACCCAGACAGCCGTCTTCACGAACCCAAACGCAGCCTACCTCTCCTTGGCCGGCGCCTCCGCCATCCCCTCACCCTTGAACATCGGCCTCGAGAACTCGCGCCGCTTCCGCGCGTTACCGGCCTACGCCGTCCTCCGGTCCGAAGGGCGGAGCGGGTTGGCGGCGATCCTGGGCCGCATGGTTGTGCTTGCGCGGAAGTTGGCGGTGTGGATTCGAGCTTCGGAGGCGTATGAGTTGCTCCCCGAGGGGGTATGGGATATCGAGGGGATGACGCACATGGTTGTGCTGTTCCGCGCGAGGGATGAGGGGTTGGATGGGGAGCTTGTGGGGAGGATTAATGGCACGAGGGAGGTGTATGTTAGCGGGACGAGTTGGAAGGGGAGGAAGGCTGTTAGGGTTGCTGTTGGCAGTTGGAGGGTTGATGTTGAGAGGGATTTTGAGGTTGTGACGAGGGTTTTGGGGGATATTGCTAAGACGTGGGCGAGGGAGTGAAGGTATTCTCTTTTGCTGGTTCTATGAGATGATATCAAGGTCGGTATTCATGTCAGTACGCGGTCAATGAGCTAGCATCCCTATAGATCTGGCAGGAAGGTGAGGGGATGGTACTTGGGCCACTTCTCTTTCATCTCTGTCATAATGAGAAGTGGAAGGGGCAGGTGGTCGAGGGGTCAAGGAGGCGCCAGTGGAATCCGTTCTTTCGAGATCACCCTTCAACCTTCGCTAAACTTTTGGTTCGACTCTCCACTGCTGACCTTTTTTCTTTCTGCCCCAAGGTGAATTGACCGCTTGGTTATTCGGTTAGTATAATACTATCTTCCCATCATATTCGTGCCAGCATATACGGTCAATGACCCGCCGCCCATCCAATCTCCCTGGAAAAAGAGGAGACGGATGATATTCAGGTCACTTCTCTTCTCATCTGAACACAACCTGAAGTGAAAGGGGCAGGTGGCCGAGGGGCTAAGGGGGCGCCAGTGGAACCCGTTCTTCCTCGACCACCCTTCAACCAGAGGCTTCGCTTTTTGGTTCGATTCCCTATCGATGACCTCTTTTTTGCCCTCTACCCTGTTGAGAATTCAACATGTTTATGATTGCTTTGTTTTTGATAGTCGGCACTTAGATCGACGCACATACTGGCCGAGCCCCTTGCGCGTGAAAATTAAGTTTGAGATACTGGTATCACGAGAGAGATATGTTGAAGTGTTGTATTGAGAACGGTGACTGGGTACAGACGGTAATGTCAACCATGCCTTAAACGCTATGTTGTCAGGAGTTACGCGTACCATGTACCCGTCACAACGCAGGAGGCTGACATCGAGTATAGAACGGTAGTTTAAGGCACATCACGACGTTCAGAAGAGGTACGGGGCAAGGGAAGGATAATTTGGATGGTACTGTGATGCATTCACCCACATGGCGCATTCGAACTTCTTCGAGATGATGTGCAGAACGTGTCAATAGTATTACTAGCCTACAGGTCGAGTATCGTCTCGATAGGAATACCCCAGTACCAGCTCGCCACGCCCATGGCGCCGATGCTCATGGTGAACGCCATCAGGAAGTTCACGTCATTGTTATCCAGCAAGTCCCACCCAGTCTCCACAACCCGCGAGGGTTTGGCGTCGCCCACGGTAGGCTTGCGATGCTTCTCCTCGGGAGCATACCTCTTCTTCGCATCGCTCGTCTCGAGAGCGTTGACGTCAGCGTTCTCCGCCATCTTCTCAACAGCGCCCTTGCCCTCCCCGTGGAGCGCCGCGGCCTTGACGGTGGCGCGCTTCTGGTTCTTGTCAGCGTGGTCGGCCGGATCGCTGGCGATGAGAACCTTTGCGCCGCCCTCGCCCTCGACGATCTTGCCGGTCCGCACATCTCGCACGGAGCGCTGAAAGACGGCGCCTAGCACGCTGTCGAGCAGACTTCCCAGGACACCCCATAGGGTCATGCCCAGCATAAAGGTCGAGCGCTGCTGCGTGGTCCAGGCGCCGAGGCCGCCGCCGACTTTGCCGGCGCTGTCGTCACCGCAAAGGGGGAGGAAGACCATGGAGGCCGTGACGATTATCATGGAGCCGAGGGCGCCGGCAGCGATGCCGAGGGGCGTCACGCCTCCGTTTGTGCCGCGCGGGACCTTGCGCAGGGTCGGGGACGTGATGAGGCGGGGCTCGCCCTTGGCCAGGATTCCTAGCTCGGAGCTGAAGGTGTCGGCGGCGACAGCGGCGTAGTTTGCGATGATGCCGATCACGAGGAGGTCGCCGCCCCAGGAGAAGCAGAGTGTGCCCGAGGGGTTCGGTGTCGTGGTGTCGAGGATTGCGTCCTTGCGCTTGTTAAGTTGGTAGGCGTGCAGGAGGGAGAGACATGAGGCCATGAGCGAGTTGGCGAAGACTATCAAAGCGGAGAGAAGTTAGCTATACCGCGCTGAAGAGCTCGGAGGAGCTACTATTGAACCGACCTTGGACGTGGGTGCGTGCTCCTTCGCCTCCTGATGTGCCGCGCGAGGCCATCGTCATTTGTGCCTTGACATCGTGTTTGACCTGGAGTAGATTTAGCATTTGGCGTTTCGTTGCAACAAGGGAGCTAGCCGTACCTTTGTTGCTCTTGTTCCAGCGAGGAAGAAAGTGCAAAGCAGCGCGAATGGCAGGTTCCACGGGTGGTACGCGTGGGCGATAGCTGTAATAACGGCGGCGACAATGCCTGCGGGGGTCAGGGATTGGTGCGACCAAGCTCGGTAGACGAGGGCGAGTGTCGCCGGGAAGGCGTAAATCGCTTTCATGGTGGTCGATTATTCGGGCTGCGTCGTGATGTTGGGAGGTTTGCGAGTTTTTGGCAAACTCGGAGCGTGGTGTTGCAGAAACGGTTCACCAGAATGCCCTGTCCCGTCTGGTGGTGGGATGCGCAGGTGTTCGGGTGAAGGTGAACTCCACGTGACGTCAGCGCTGGGAGCTCGGGGTTGGAGTGAGGAAGCTCTGGATCCCTGTCTAATTTCTTGAGGGCAGGCAGTTGGCTGCCAAATTACATCACCCACCATAGCCATGTACATATTTACACAGCTCCTTAGGCGCACAGATTATACGATAGTTATCTGCTCTCAAATCTCTTCAACTAAGATATAATGCTGAAAACCTCATCCAAGGTGTGATGAAAGTTCTAAGCGCGTGCCAATACGGTAGCAGAGCGTCGAAGAATTCTGGATCACTATCAGTGCATGTGATACAAGTTGGACAGTTACAATCTTCCTCGATTTCGATATTTTGCGATGATGGTGCTTCCAATGCCTGCAAGGAGCTTCTCACTAAGCAAAGAGCGCATCGATTCGCAAGTTTCAGAACAGAGAGAGAGCTTACTGTGCTGATAGATCGTAAGGTAGTTGCAGTTCCCACAGGAAAAGCAATGTTACCTATATAAATACTCCAGCTACTGCAATGCACCACTCACTCGCCATGAACGGCCGGGTTTTATACACTCAATCTAAGCTAGTCATAAATGTCCATTTTCACTGTAAGCTGTCGATGTTGGTGGGGATGGCAACTGCTACGAGCTGTGATATTGATGCGACCAACTCATAGTGACAAGATCGAAACCACAGTATACAATCTTGACAGTAATCAGCACCGAATCATCCGTAATTACCGTTTCCTATTCTGACGAGAAGGCTGAAGCCACAACGTGAAAACTTCGGGCTTCGTTCCCCGATAACCCCGTGAAGGAATGATGGAGACTGAGTCCCCTCTATCCGTACGAGGAAACCTGGTGCCAGGGGGTGCGCCATGCACTATATCTGACCAATCAGCGCGAGCTTCGATGCGATTAGTAGCTCCCCCACGTCCCCCGGAATCGGCTCCTTTTCTGCTTAGCGAGAATCGACGAGCTTCATGATTCATGAAGCGCAAGACACGAACAGTCGCTTCGCAACTTAACTTCTTCGTGGGATGGATTGTGTATAAGGCCCGACACGTCACGATAGAAGGAGAGATAGAACACCTCTCTTTTAACAAAGGCCTCTTTTTGGCCCCGACGACCGCAACAGACGTGAATGCCGAGTGCCAGTTCTTGGGGTTCAATTAAAGGCGATGGCGGCCGCGCGCAATCTCACAACGACCACGAGTCCCCCTCGCTCAAACATCATGGCGGCAGACGTGAGGGAAGAGCCCAAGGCAGCCGTAAAAAACTACAAAGGCTTTGTCGCCGGAGTATTTTCAGGAATCGCCAAGCTCACTGGTTAGTCACTCTGCATTCTGAGGTTTGAATACCGTACTGAAACTGCGAAGTCGGCCACCCCTTCGACACAATCAAAGTCCGCCTCCAAACAACAGACGCCTCGCGCTTCAGCGGCCCCCTCCAATGCGTAGGCCAAACGCTACGGAACGAGGGCATCCCGGGCCTCTACAAGGGCGCGACCCCTCCGCTGGTGGGCTGGATGTTCATGGACTCGGTCATGCTGGGCTCGCTGACGGTCTACCGCCGCCTCGTCGCCGAGCGCCTCTTCCGCGTCGGCGCCGTCGACAACTTGCCGTCATACGGCCACGGTGTCGCGGGCATCATGGCGGGCAGCACCGTCAGCTTCATCGCCGCGCCCGTCGAGCACGTGAAGGCGCGCCTGCAGATCCAGTACGCCGCCAACAAAGCCGAGCGGCTGTACAGCGGGCCCGTCGACTGCCTGCGCAAGATCTACGCGAACCACGGCGTCCGGGGCGTGTATCACGGCCTCAGCGCGACGTTGCTGTTTCGCGGGTTCTTCTTCTGCTGGTGGGGCAGCTATGATGTGTTTTCAAAGTACTTTAAGAAGAACACGAACCTCAGTGCGCCGGCGGTGAATTTCTGGGCGGGCGGGCTGAGCGCGCAGATTTTCTGGTTGACGAGTTACCCGTCGGACGTGATCAAGCAGCGCATCATGACGGATCCCCTTGGTGGCGGGCTCAACGACGGCACGCCAAAGTTCAGGAGGTGGAAGGACGCTGCGACGGCGGTGTATAGGGAGACGGGGTGGAAGGGATACTGGCGTGGGTTCTTGCCGTGTTTCTTGAGGGCGTTCCCGGCTAATGCCATGGCGTTGGTTGCATTCGAGGGTGTTATGCGGGCTCTGCCAGAGTAGATGTGTGGGTGATTTCATTGCCGTAAGGTATAGACGAGACATTTGTACGAGGGGCACCGATAACCATAGATAGACAGCAGGATACCCAGGATTGGAATCAGAATCGCACCTCAAAGCATCACATCGCAATCATTCACGAACAAAGGAGGACCACATGTGGCAGATCAACAAGCACACGAAGGTGCTAACTTTTGGTATTCCCTTTTAACCTTGCCAAAATTCCAGTGCCATGCCGACCCAAGTAACCTTAACCTGACTAGTGCATAGAAACTGTTTACTCGTCGTCCTCATCAGCCTCGTCGTTAACGACGTTGAAGAACTTGAGCTCGTAAACACCCTTGGAGGTGGAGACGACGCGGAGCCAGTCACGGAGCTGCTGCTTCTTGAGGAACTTCTTGGTGCTGTGGGGTGGAACAATAATGTCAGTAAGTTGTCCTTACATGATACAAATTGTCGCCAGCGCGACACAAGATCAAGAAGAAAACCTACAGGTACTTGAGGTAACGGCCGGAGAGCTCGTTGTGGGCAATGATCTCAATCTTGCCCTCACCCTGCTGGGAGATCTGAACCTGGTCGCCGAGGTTGCCGACGCGACCCTCAACCTTGATCTTGTCCTGGAGGAACTTCTCGAAGGCAGCGACGTCGAAGATCTTGTCGGAGGCGGGCTGGGAAGCGTTGATGATGAACTTCTTGGTAACCTTCTGGTTCTTGCCCTTGCCGGTGCGCTTGATCGCCTAGAATTTGGGGAACATGACGTTAGCCTACTGTTTCACGCCGCCGCCCAATTTCCTCTCTCTCATTTTCCAGAGGAGAAGAGGAAATTGGGCTGGGCCAACAGCAAAGCGGTGTTGTCATGTACGTACTGCTTGAGGAGCCATTTTGGACGGATGTGATGGACGCAAAGAAGTTTGATCCTGCGTTTGGTTGAAGTGGTTGTGGTGAGGGGAGGGGAAAGAATTGACAGATTGAGATGGAGCTTGACACTTCACGAAACTTTTTCCCAGCCCAAAAGTGGATTTCAGTTGTGGGTGTAGGAAAAAGTGGCAGCGAAATTCTAGGGCAACGGATCATTATCTTATCCGAAAGGTGAGGAGGGCGGGGCTGGGCGGGAAGTGGCCTTTCACCGAACTCACCGAGACCCCCTGTGGTCTGAGCTCCGCGCTCCAATCAAGAACGAGTCGCATCCAATTCTTCCCCCGGGCACACTCGTTTGCCATAATTGGCAGGCAAGCAATGCACGAAGGGCGCGTCTGCGCTGTCGCGGATGATTCACTTTCGACATCGCAGATTGCCATGTCAAGGACCGCCTTCATCGTACCTTACAGGTATTGACCTCAATGGCTTGGGTTAGCTTTCTGCCTGAAATAGCCTGCCTAGAACCCCCACACGCGAAAGAAGCCCATGCATGTGTGAATCACGGGAGCAATTCGAGAAATAGCGGCCTCTTGCTCTCATTGGTGGACGCGGATGCGACTTCGTCGTGGTCACGATTATGGACAAGAGTCAACGAGCCAGTGAGCTCTAGAAAAGGGGGTTCTCTGCACCTAGGCCTAGGCTTTCCGTGAATGAATTGTTCTACTTCTAGTATTCTATCACCTCGTGACGCATGCGGGACTAAGAGATGGACCGGTTGTATCAAGCAATCCACGGCGAGGCGTGTCCTAAGCAATTGATCACCTAGAAACGCAATGATAGATTCAATCCACCTTTCTATTGCTTTCCTAGTCATCGTATCGGCATTACGTAGCGCATCATAGAAGCTCAGCCGTTTCGTTAACATCAACCAATTCCATCAAAATATCCATCTAAAGATAGTAACCGCTTTATACGAAGGGATTGCGTAAACGTCAACGCACACTGAGTGACGAATTAGGTCGCTATCTCAAGGTATTCTTCAGAGCGAAAGATTTAGTCTTGCTTAAGAAGGTAATAACCACGTCATATCAAGTTGATGGTCCTCATCTATCGCAATTAACGTTCTTTGTGAATTTGCAGAATATCATATTGCTAAGCGATGGAATCTGGTGACTAATTTCAGGTCGTACAACCTACTAGAATAACAACAAATTTTCTGGCAGGGTCACATCATAAAGTGTCAGTTACAGGCGAACCATATGTACCATCGGCTAGAACATTGGTCCTCATGAGACGTTTTCGCCACTTCAGGGTTCAGTCCAATGGCGGGATAAGGTGTAGTAGTTCTCAGATCAGTCTGCCCAGATGAAATGCCGTCAACGCCCTTACTCAAGTTGACTTGCCGAGGGGCATGACTAGGCATATAGGCATTGCTGTCTTGACATGCCAAGATAAGTACGCAATGAGTAATTACGAGGCGGCTGGGCCAGTCCGGTTCCTGCCGGGTGATCGATGAAGATACATAACTGGTTCCTGGTTGAAAATGCCCGGAGGAAGACGGCTTCGTCGGGGGTCCCCTGACTGTTCGTGCGACTGGAGCGTGCGATCCCCGAGGAATATCCTGAGGCACATATGCATAGGGCTGAACGATTGGATGAGACTACGTACCGAAACGGACCCCACCTCGATCTCTCAACTCCCCTCCCTCATCAAAGTACCTACTTCTGGGTCGCCATGCCACCAGATACTCGTCTCGATTGCAAGTGTTTGCTCAAGTACTTTCAATTGTCATTCAATGCTACGACTTAGGCACCCAGGTCTCGTGGCTGAGTCTTGCGCAGGGTAGCCTGTTCTCCCGGGCAGGGGTGTGCGCCAATGGCACCCTTGAGTGGCACGTCGTCCATCTCGACTCGAATCTCTTTCGACTCGAGGTTGCCAGGTTCCCAATCATCTGCACAGCTACGGCACTGCTACGCTAGCTGCCGTTACATTACTCTACAATCCTGATTATTTCACAGCGCTGACCTTGTTTCATCCCCCCGGATGAGGCTCGGTGAGGTGGAGGTATTTCCCCGTGAAGCCCGAGCTGGAACCTCCCATTCGATAGCGGAAAGTCCAAGGCGGAGATTCTCACACCACACCAGCTCGTAAGGCGCATTGCAATCATCCATTAAGGCATCATATCGAACATGCAGGCGGACTCGGTCATCTGCCTCGGGTGTCGAGTTCAACCTGGAGACCGTCGTTTCCTGCTCACATGCTTGGCTCTGACCCCCCACCCAACCTACCCCGGGAAATAATGATATCTCTGCAAACTACGGGACTATGTTCGCCGCCTTGAACTTCAATCTTCTGACGCAAAGTACTCGTTTCCTGTTGTACGCGAACCAAAATCATCAACATCTGTTCCATTGAGTCTGGGTCTCGTCCATCTCTCTCTCTTTAGTCAACGTGAGCTCGTACTTTCATGTAACCAACGAAAACAACAAGATTCAGGAACAGAAATCGCTATTCGTAACAAGATCTGAAGCAAGATACGAGGTGTCTCTGATACCCGCAGCCGTGCCGCAGCGGGATGAAATTAGCCGTCCTGCAACCCGGTCATCTGGGACATCGGCTCAAGGCACTGCGTCTTTTCCCCACGCAGTCAGGTACCTGCGGTGCATGCTAAACGGCACCCTCAACGTCCTGTTGACAGTATTGGCATTAGGTACACCCTGTGAAGGCCGCCTTTGGAAAGTCGATTTCCGTCTCCGTAGGAGTCGATTGTTTCCCGCTAGTCCAGCTATCCTCTGTCCGCTGCCCTCACCGGTCTGCAAGTCAGCAGGCGTCACCCTCGATTACGATGTCGTTGTGAACTTGAACGCAAACTCGGACCCCACCACCTTCTCAAAGTAACCTCAAGGCGTCCCTCTGTTCTCTTGGCTTACAACGTCGAGACGAGAGAATCGTCTCCTGTCCACGTCAACTGTCGAACCCTATCGAATTCGAAGTTGACCTCTAGTCGCTAGAGCTTCGGCTTTGGACGCAGGATTGGCTACGGATATGCTCGTATGGACCTTTTCTTGTTGTTGCCTTGTATCGAAACAGCCAGTCGTATCCCAATAACGTCTTTGAGTCACTGCGCACATGCTCTAGTGGTGTGGTCTGTACATCGGCACTCTCCGTCGTCTACCATGGCAATCTCATTACAAGAATGAACATCTTTGAGGCAAGTTCAATTCTGAAACTTAATGGTGGTGAAAAATAAATTACAAAACCTGAACAGATCCGAATCCTGAAGACTAACTCTCATCAGTCTCGATCTGTGTCACACGCTACATACCACAGTCATGATGAGAATAGCTATCGTGGGTGGTGGAGGCTTCGCAGCTATCCTTGCCCATCACATCACGCAAACAGCGAACCCCGTAATCATTCTGTCAAGAGAAGTAGGTAATGAGGAAAATATGGGCATACCAGGTCACTAACGCGAGGTTCACAGTCAAAACCAGAGCTGGAGGAACGCTACGACTGTCAAGTCGCGGTAGTAGACTACGACGACGCTGAAAGACTCCGTTTCGCCCTCAAGGGCATCGACCTCGTCATATCAACGATACGCGGCCAAGAACAAATCAACGTCATCCACGCCGCGCGCCACGCCCGCGTCCGCCTCTTCGTCCCCGCAGAGTTTGAAGGCTCGATATCCCACCGCCCATCGTCCGGCCAAGACCCCCTCGACTACGGCTCCTCCGAAGCCATCGAGCTGCTAAAACACTGCGCCAGTTCAAAGTCTCGCAAGATGGAGTACACGGTCTTCTCCTGCGGCGTCCTGTACGAGCGCTTTGCGCCGGGCGGGCTGGCAGAGTACGGCATGGGAGCCCGCGCTACGATTGGGAGTCAGGGGGTCTACCTTGTCGATGTCGGGAACGCGTCCGCGGATATTGTTGAGACGAACGGCTCTGGACGGCCTGTGCAGGTCTGCATGACCTCCGTTGCCGACGTGGCTCGGTTTGTTGCCGCTGCCATCGAGCTGGGCCCGGGCACGTGGCCCCGCGAGTTCAAGATGAGAGGGGACAGGATGTCGGTTCGAGACATATTTGCAAAATGCAGCAACGTGAGAGGTGGTGAGTGATCTTTCGTCCCCCTACTCTAGAGGAATGATGAGACTGTACGGGCTAATAAAATGATAGTGGCGTTCACCTTGCGAACTCGAAAGTACTCCAAGCTCCAGAGCGAGCTTACACATTACGAACAACGTCAGAATTGGAACCAGTGGTGGAATATACAGCGACTGATAGCTACGGCGGATGGTCGATATGACTTTCGTCAGGCCAACTTGAATGAAGCAGTCGACTTTCGACCTGTGAGTTTCAGGTCGTGGCTCGAATCAAACTGGGGCCCAGGATCATAGACGGCAACTTTCTCTTCGCTTTGTATTGTGCCAAGAGAATTTACGCATTTAATCGCAGTGATGGGCCACTTTCTCATTGTATCTTTAGCATACCATCTCTATTCTGATCTGACTAAAATGAACCATCCAAACAGTATCTCCAAGGAAGTGCCCTGGATACCAGACCCGAACCCAAGCCAAGGGCCAGACTATCGTGAATCATTGTCGGACTACTGAGTCCTCGCCTTATACAACAGTATCATTCCTCGATTCCTCTACAGCTACGTTTGAATTCAATATCGCGGAGGATGACCAGCTTGTCCTCGACAAACGCACAAGAAACTGCTATCCCAAAACCCTGGTACTCGAGATTGCAGCGAGCCGACCCTGGTGAAAGGAGGCCTCATCGGTCCAGTAAGATGACAGGATGTAGTGATCTGGAGGGTATCATCGTAGAGAACGCATGCATCCTTCGCCCCAAAAAGGGGTTCAACCCCCGACGCGAAAGCTCAAGGCACAACGTAATCGAACCTGTGTACCAGGACACCGTACGCTGTCCAAGATACATGCTCCAGCCTCTTGAAAGATTAGGATCGATTCGGTAGATGCACCCGGTCCCAGGTGCCAGGTAACTCTGTCTCCCAAATTCGCCTTACAAGGTAGCCTGCGTCTTGTTGTTTCCAAGATCCCGGAATCCGCTATTGCTGATGGCTGATGCTGACACCCGACCTACCCTTTTCGCCAGCAGCTCCGGCGGCGCGGTAATGGCCTTTTATTGGTTACTGCCCATCCTTCCCGTCACACTGCATATCGTTCCTAATATGCCGGCGAAACCAGAAGAGAACCTGGTTCTGTTACGGTTATCCAGAAGCGGTAGTTTAGGCCGCGCTGCCGGACGGAGGGAGAAAGTGGTGATGATGAATTGCACGCGCGTAAATGTATGGTATTTTGATATGCCTCGAGACCTTTTGCAAACTTCAGCCTCATGACGGCGACCTACATCCATCGTCTAGTCAACCCATAAAACCGCCGACATCACTCCGAACTAGCCACAAGAAAGAATGGTTCGCAATAGTGATATTGGAGGGCTAATATGGACCGCCAAAAACCTTCCACCCTGCCCTTTTTGGAGGGTTGTAGTCTAACCGCACACTCGGTTCTAGACCCCTTACCCCTCTCCCCCTTGTCTATTTCTCTCAATCTCAGAGCCGCGTTGAATGCCCTTTAATGATGTATCCGTGGTGTTGAATGCGAGCCCTTCCCGTTTGAACCCCTCAACCAATAATCATAGCGCTCTTTTGAAAATTCCATTGTTTCCCATATCCCCGTTTCGCCCGTGCCGAAAACCCGATTTTGCCTTTGCCTCGTTCGCTTTCAGACGCCCTCTCCCTCCGCGACCAACCCCCACACGCCGCGCCGTCTCGATTGTTGAAAGCAAGGGTGTAACTTCGCCCAGAGTAACGTCACAGTCCACTGGACGACACCCCCTCACAGAAACTCGCTACACTCCTAACCCTCATTTCCTCCCCTCACGCTCACGCCTTGTCCGCCTCGTCACCATACTCATCCACGACCCAAAGACAGAACTTCTCCCACTCCGTCTCCCACAACTTGAGCCTCTGCGCCTTGATACCGGACCCCAGACTCGCCTGCTTGATCCCCTCGGTCCACTCCGCCGGCGTCTCGTCCTCAAAGGCGGACCACCGCACGCTGTTCTCCGCCATGGATCCCAGCCCGAGCAGGCCGACGTTCTCCCACCCCTGCAGCGCCTGCCAGTAATCGTGCGACATGCCCGCCGTGTCCTGGCCCAGCATGGCCGGGTCGTCGTTGCACAGCGCGCACGAGACGCCGCGCGAGAGCAGCGCGGGCAGTGGGTGCGACATGATGGAGCCGCAGAGGCGGAGGACCTCGTTGGAGATGGGGCATGACTCGACGAGGATGCGTTTCTCCTTGATCATGTCGATGAGCAGCGGGTGCTTGTAGAGGGAGAAGCCGTGACCGATGCGCCGCGTGCCGAGGAGGATGGCGTCGTAGAGGTTCTGGTCCGTCTCGTCGCCGTCGCCGAGGGTCTCGCCGGCGTGGAAGAAGAAGGGGAGGTTGACGCCTTCCTGGGCACACTGCTTGCGGAACCAGAAGAGTTCCGGGAGGAGGTCGCGGAGGGGCCGGCCGAGGTCTTCTTGGCCGACGAGGTCGTAGCCGGCGATGAGGTGGGGCCAGGAGATCTTGGTGGTGATGCAGTTGTCCATGCTCTCGATGATGTCGCGAACGGGGAGGTGGCGGATGGTGGTCCAAATGGTGCGGAAGCCCCAGAAGGCGGCGTGGGCCGGGTCGGATTTGAATAGGGCGAGCTCTTCTTCCATTACTTGGAACATGTGGTTGTAGTCCTTTTCCGGTTCTTCTTGCTGGTCGCGGCAGTAATTGAGCGGCCACGTGAATCTATTTGGGGTCAGTACATCACCTTTCGATGTGTGACAAGGATGATTTATTTACCTCAGCTCGATCCAGTAGATGCCGTCTGCCAACAGAGACGCCATCAATCTCTTGAGGAAAGCACGGAAGATTGGCTCGTAGTGAATAATAGTGTTGGTGACGCCAAAGCACGAGGTAAATTTACGCCAGACAGCGTCGATGCCGTGATGCTGCTCATACGTGTCCGTCAAGGTGATTGTGCAGCGCGCCTTGAGCCACTTGAGAAACCCCGTCCTTCCGCCATCGGGATACTCATCCGCCGCCGTGGTCAATAGACGAAACTCGCCCGGGACATAGCCATCCTCCCAGACGGGCTTTGAACTCGTCTCCGCCTTTCTGTACCGAAAATGTACGCTAGCATTCGACCTCGCCGGCTCGTTGGACAGGGGCTCGTCCGCAGCAAAGTGAATTCCGGGCGTCTTGAGCAGGACATCGAACAAAAAGTCAAAGTCCACCATGGCGTCCAAGTGTGAGTGAAGAAGCGAACCCTTTGGCAACCTCTGCACAATGCGCCACAGCCGGGTCGTCTCGAGGCGCTGCTTGGCGAGCGTGAACATCATGCCCGGGAAGGGCGCCAGGCCTTCGGTAGTGGCGAGGTCCTCCTCCGTCTGGGCGTTCCATATCGTCCGCTTCTCCTCGTCACGGATGCGGGAGACGATGTCTGCTGCGCGCCGGGCAATGGGGGACGCGGCGGCCTTGAAGGAGGCGTCGGCGCGGCTCTTGTGCTCTTGCGCGATGAGGGCGTCGCGACCTTTAATGTACTGTGTGATGAACGGGTCAGAGACGGATGGGATGTCTTGGCGGAGCTCCTCCCAATCTTCGTTTGAGAGAGACATGTTGAGCGGATGATGCGGGGTCCTTTGTGAGCACTGAAATAAGAGGGCGGGAGAAGCGGGGAGAGAGGGCGAAGGTGGTGAGTTGAGTAACGGCGGGATTGAGCTTTATGAGATATCGTTCAAGGTTCCGAAGATGTGGACTCAGTGTCGACGAGATAGGCAGGCATCCGTCATATTCCCTCCGGTCGGTCGGCTCCGGTGTAGTGATGGAGGGGTTCTTGAGTGGCCGGCGGTTTACGATGGAATTAGACGGTTAGCGATGACTGCGGGGACGCGGGGTTACAGTGGTGGGCCAGTGCACGATGATAATGATAGCTCTCGTCGGGCCCCACTCCGGATTCAGCGGCGCCGAAGCCGGGTATGTGCCCGGAACAGTGATCGTTGGTTCAGGGGTTTCCACCTCTGCCTACGTACTCTCAACGATATGGGTTTGGCACTTGAGGTGTTGAGAATGGAGCATTTAGGAGCTCTCTATATATGCCAGCCGTCGTGTACTTTGTAGCTGTAGTCATCCTTCAATCCCTGCTAGATTGTCAAAGGTGCTTTCCACTGCTAATTTCCACGATATTCATCTCGCCAACATATATGGCATTTTTGAGAGTCATGGCCACCGACAGCGTCCTCAACAGTGGATTTGAGGTTTTGAGATCAAACTCACCGTCCTGCCCTGATTCGAGATTATTCCTTCGGGCAAATCAATACTCCCTGCCCGCCTCACGCATCTTGTGGGCCTCATCCGATCATTGATAGGTACCAAAGACGGTGTATCTCTCAACAAGCACCGTCCGTTGTAGTCGATGGCCGAGCGGGACGATTCTATCGTATGTTGGCTCACGGTCCTACATAATGCCATGGATAGCTTGTTTTTTTTTTTTTTTCTATTTGGGAAAGATCCTGCGTTCGAGTTGACTTTGAATCGCCCTTATTTCACAAGTTTCTTGTATGAACCATACCTGGTCGTTATGCATCATCGACAAGATGATCGCACCAAAAAATGGCCATCTTTCCGCAAATTTCGAGACGCTGCACCAAGCGAGTCTTTGCATTGGCCCGTGGCACATGCATTCCTCATCACCAAAGTATGTCAGCAGTACGTGGGCGAGTCGAAACTGCTCCTGTGGCAGTAAGTTACAGGTTCGAAATAATCGCGTTTCTTTGGAAGGATGTTCAGCTGAGGCTTCCAAACATGGGTGTGGGGGATATGGAGGATTGCTGTCGGGAAGACATCTGAAGGCCGCAGGTCATGCAATCTGCCGCGGTTGATCGTCGCACAGGATACCCATTCGCCTGACGTGGACTCTAAGAGCATGTCCAACAGAGCCACCATGCCTCTACGTTATCCTTCTTGACCGTGCCCTTCACCTTGTAGCTCCAAGATGAAGGGAGATTCGCTAGAAAGAACTGGCACCTGTGATTGCAATATTCGGTGTTGGAACAGAAAACATGTTTGTCGATTATGTGATGGTATCTAGTCGTTAACCCCCCTTTCCTTGTCGTAGTTATCGCCTCGTTCAAGGCAGGTCTGTCGAACACCGGGCTCACCCTAGAGCTTTCCCTCAGAGTTGTCGTTGCGCCCATCCGGCTTCATGCCCGCCACCGCCTAGCCATCCACCATCCTCTCCCAGCCGTGCAGAGCCTCTACCCCACAGGAGAAAAATCACACAGGGAACCAACACCCCTCTCGTTCTCCCGCCACTTCTTCCTCTGCGAGATCTC